TACACTGAAAAATAACAGGGAAGAAAAAGCCCACTTAAAATATGTAAGATATATATGCTAGGCAGGTGCTCTATCACTGAGCTACATCCACAGCCCTCAGAATATTCTCTAAAATAATCCATAAAGAGAGAAACTTGAGAATTTGTTAAAATATGAGAAACAAATATCAACAACCAAAAAAGAAAAAAGAAACGTGCAAACCCAAAATCCAGAGAATAGCAGAGTGATGAATTGAAAGGCACACTAATTTAAGGCTCAAAATCTGACTCCTAAGAGAAAGAATCACTAGGATTGCATCCTGTCTTGAAACAGGGTGTGTGTGTGTGTGTGTGTCTGTGTGTGTGTGTGTCAAAGCCCTTAAAATTTAAAGTAGGACTGTTTAGAAGTATGATAGTTTTGGTTTAGGGGATCAAAAATTCAAATAGAAGCTAACAAAGAACAAGCAAAGAAAAATTTCCGAGGCTGTGAAACCTAGCTACTTAAGATAATGACACAAATTTATGACTGCTTCCTTCCTCGGCAGAAAGGAGCACAATTAGAAGGCTGAGAACAACGGGCCCTTTGTACCAGCATGTCGTGTTTAGCTTATTCTCTTACGCATTGGCTGGGAGATGAGAATAAACAGGACAACACCCTGTCTAACCCAGGAGGAGGGGTGGAGGGAAAAGCCTGTTCCGAGCATTCCTGGGCATGTAGGGGTGCACACCGTTCGATTGCAAATTGAGGTACTTAAGACAACTGTGCACGCAATAGTCAGGAAGAAGGATCAGCAAGCCTTGACTGCATAATCCAGTCTTTCAAGAACCAGTCGTGTGTAACTGGGAGCTCTAGAGTACTTCTCCACTGTAAAGTGTTCTAAGATATGTAAATAATCGATAGCTATCTAAAGTATTTATCCATTCTATTTGTGATCAATCTTTAAAAAAAAACTTAAAAACTAGGATGAGCAAACATAAACACAGCTTCCCTCCTTTTGATCTATTGTGTCAAAAAGTTTGCAAGGAATCCGTCATCAGCCACACAAAAACATGGTGATGCCAGCCTGAGTGCCAGCACTGGAGAACTCTGTTCAAGGTCAGCAGCTGTAGGCCACTTGGGTTCTAACTAACCAGTCATGAGGGGCAGCGCACCTGTGGTTCCAAGAAAACCAAGACAAAACTGGGCCTCACTTGCAGCTCTCTCTCCACAACCCTGACCGCCTGGAATGATGGATCCTGATCCAACCACTGCCAGTTGTTAGTGTCTCTCTGCTCTTACTTACATGATGCGTGAGTGGCTCAGATGGCCACCCATTTCTCCTCCTTTGTCATTTACTTGGTTTTATTTTCTTCATCACACACATCTTAGTTTCTTTTCATGAATAAGATTTTCATCCCCTAATTACATCCATGAAGACAGAGAACTCATCAACCTTGTTCACCCTTTTAAGTGAACAAATACACCAACAAAATGAGCAAAGGGGCAAAAAAAAAAAACCCTGTCATAGTGCCATGGAAAAGAGCTCAAAGCAGAATTGGTCACTTATCATAGCCACTCTGAGGCAATTTTGTTCCTCAGGGGTGAAACCACATGTGGATGGCGGGACTGGTGAGCAGAGCTAGGTGGCATTTTGATTTTGGCACCAAACAGAAAACCACAGGAGATTCTTGAAATTCAAATACGGGGGTGGAGGGTCTGGATGTCAGCGAGGTGGTTTTGCCAGTCTAATTATGTGTGGTGACATGCAATTGTGAACTGCTGAAGGGCAAATGCTGGAACAAAGCATTTATTCCAAACATACAGAGGTAAGACAGAGGTGGGTGTCCACTTTCAAGCAGCTGTCATAAACCTGGCTCCAGGTGCTACTCCATCAACTGCACTGCTCACCTAACAGTGCCAGTGCGATAGGCTCCTCTCCCGTCCTGCTTCGGTACTAGAAAGTGGGCTGGTCAGTAGGTACCTGAGACACAGAGAATGTGAGAAGTCATGAGGAAAACAGCAGAATGTTAACTATCCAAACAGGAAGAGCTGTCCACCCATCGAGGACTCGTTTACAATGCCTTTGTCTTCACAGAGGTATCCAAGTACTCAATCCAAGAAACGTTCCTTCACAGCTCCCAACACAGCAGATTGTGTCTTTGTGAAACCAAAACAGCAAGCCCATGCCCACCGAGTGAGACCCGTGTGGGGAGGGAACAATCCACAGTGTCTTCAAAGCAAACTGGTGATTCTCCTCCAGATCAGAAAGAAGGAAAGCACCTCTCCCCTGAACAGTGGTCCTGGGAAGGGTTAGGGTGGAGGTGGGGATCAATAAGTAATGACTCTGGTTATTTCAAAAGGAGACAAGAATCACGAAATGTTGCACTGGTAAATACTCTAGTTACTGCTATTATGAAAAACATTCCAAATCCGAAAACACTGGGTAGTCGTCACCTTCTTATACACTGATTTGTCATTACCACACATTCAAGCTGTACAAATGAGGTTTTATTTTTTTCCTCTACTTAGGTAAAATATCAGATTAGGCTCAAAAACAGAATCAGAGTGGAGAGTTTTAAGCTTACACAAATTATAATGTATAATATTTAAAATACAGTGAAATCTTTATGGATACAACCCCAAATTTTTTAAATCAATTCTTTAACACAGTTATTAATGACCTGTTTTAGGTCACAAGCAGAAGTGAATGCCTTTTCACAAAAAAAGAATACTAAAATGGTATAAAGTGGTACTTGTTATAATTACGACCTAATCACTAAAGAAGTTCAGAGGTATGGAACTGATGATCTTGCATGCATGTTTATAAAACACGGAATTGGGAAAGAACCAGTTAATGAACCGAGAAATCCTTTGATCTCTCAGCATATTATAACTCACAGAACAGAGGAGAGTTACAGCGTGGAGGTCCTTTGGGATGGCTCCTCCTACCCTTGGGGATTCTTTACCCTATTTGGGGTGCAGAGTTGACCTACGAGGCTGTCATTTTTGTTTCAGCTTTGATTGACAGAGCCTCAGGTAGGCAAAGCCTTAACTCTAAATATAAAGTCATAAACCCCACTTGGCCACAAGTGGCTCAAGGTGTTGGGATCCCAGGAGAGTCAAGCCAAGCAAGTGGAATCCATTTAAGTCAGAGTTTGAAAAAAAACAAGAGTCCCCCCTTCTTTCCCCTTCCCCTTCCCACTGGCTGTGGAAGATGCCACAATCTCCCTCCACAGCCCAAACTCAGGGGACAGTGATGCAGTCCAGGAAGACATCTAGACGAGGGCAGACTTTATTTCCACAGTCTCAAATGGAAGAAAAAGATATCTGACAACCAACCACAAATTTCTGAATGTCCGTTCTCCTATTTTTAAGCACAGAAGCAGTCTTGCTGCTGCTAAGTCATCATCATCATCCCATTGTTTGACATTTGTAACACTTGGCCTTCGGGTATTACTTTAAAAGTACAGAGTTAAGTGTGTTTAAACCACTTTAAATATCGCAAAAAGCAGCAGTGTACCTGCTTGGGCACGCAAACTTGAAAAGCAAAGCTTTATAGAATGGCTGCAGGTCAACAAAATTCTGGTTTTGGCAGCTAATGTCAGGAAAGAGCTGTAGAAAATAAGGTCCTGCCTCTGAAACCACTCTGCCCTTGGTTCCCTCAGGCCAGAACCTGGTCCTGTTAGTGAACATGCTCTGAGAAGCTACAGCTCTCGTAAAGTGCTAAACACTCCCAAATAAATATGCCCCCTCAAAACTGTATACAAATGAGAAACATTTAATGAACAACATTTCTTCACCAATAACTCTGCTTAAATTAAGTCCAGGAGACTCTTCAAAGGGACCAAAGAAGCCCCTTTGTTAAGACAAATTCTATATATAGACATCCAAGACAATTACATGATGCATGTAACCAAATATATATAATTATCCTAGTTCCTACATTCCCATTATCTTTATAAATATAGGATAAAAATCAGTCTAAATGACTTTCTCAGACCTCCTCATGGATTAAGTCAAGTCAGCCAGCCTTTAAAAAGTATATGTATGTAGTAAAGATCAAAAGCAAACGTTCTGGTCAGTTCTTTTCTACTCATGGGTTTTACTAAGAATGTGCACAGTTTTCAGGGAAAACACCACAAATGACAGCTGTTCAAAAGCACGGAAATTAATTGGCAGCAGGAATTTCCTTGACTAATGGGGAAAAACTTAAAGTCACATGTTTTGATGAGCTTATTTTTCCCATCCTTAGCCAAGAATATTCACTGTTAATGATTAAGATTTGCAAACAGAAATAAAACCAAGGGAAACCCTGAGTATACTCTCTGTCCTTTTTCAGTGGAACACCACTACCCATGGCAGAATAAAGAATGGAGTTAATGAAGGGAGTTTACCTGTAAAAGATACATCGGGGAAAGGTTCAACTTTCTGCAGGAACGAAACCAAGACACAGTAAGAATAATGCACTGATTGTATTAAAAAATAGTAGCACCGTGAGTACCACCCGCCCCACCCTGTGGCAGGCCATATGCTCTGAGCTGTTAGTCCAGCAGTGAGGATTGATTTCCACTGATCTGTCCACAGTCTCTCTGACACAGGGGCTCTCAAGTCGTTGCCTTGGGACTGGTGGTAAGGATGGATGAGACAGCTGGTCAGGATTAGGCAAACAGCCCATGGCCCTGGGACCAGGTCATGTTACTGTGCCCAGAGCTCACGCTTTGACCTTGAACTCATTCGCATTATGCTCTCATCACCCACACTAACAGCCCTGATCAGCTCTGACCAACATACATCACCCTGTGCAACCCCAGCAACAGCGTGGGCTTTTCATTCTCAAGGCAGTTTGAATTGAGCCCATGACACCCACAGGCTCACATGGGCTTAAACACTGACCCTCAAAGGAGCAATAAGATGTCCAAGGATGAGCTACGTGGCCCATGCCTCCAAATCAAATGACAGCTTTAAGAGAGCTCAAGAAAAGCAAGAAATAGTCTAAGAATTTCCAGAGCATGTGCTCCAAGTGCCACAAGAGAATGACATACCTGGCCATCCCCAGACTTGAAAAGTTAGCAGGGACAATGAGTATATCCAGCCGGGAGAATGGGTGTGTTCCCAGGACAGAGTGTGCAGCTGAGAGGCAAGGAGGGATCAGAGGCAGAAGGGTCTCTTGGCAGACATCCCGGAGGCACATCGGGACAAAGACTCGGTGAGGAATGACCTCCTGGGCAGTGGCAGAGGCATTCTGGAAGCGGCAGGGGTATTCCACGTGACCACAAACACCAGCACACCTGGGGATGACACGAGAAAAGCAGATGCGCTTACTGGTAAACCGTGTCCACTCCTGCTGCGGAGGGGTGGAACTCTTCAGCAATGGACCACTTACAGGAGACAGCAGTTCCAACAGGCTCACGAGCAAAGACAGTTCTCTGTTCAAGTGAATAGCAATGAAAGATTACAGATCAAAACACTTACTGAGGGGCTGGGGCTCGGGCTCAGGGCAGAGTGCTTGCCTAGCATGTGTGAGACACTGGGTTCCATCCTTAGCACCACATACAAAAATAAATAAAATAAAGGCATGCTGTCGATGTACAACTACAAAAAAAAAAAAAAAAACTGATGTGCTTGAGTTCATGGAGCAGTTCAATCTAAGTGATAAAAAAGCAGTCAAATCTTGTTTTAGAATAAACTGAGGGGATGGGATCCAAACTCAGAATAAAACTACCTCCCACCCAAATAAAAACAATTTCTTCCCTCAGTAACGTGCTTTTAAATATCATCATAGGAAAATCTCCAAATCAGGGACGAATTGTAACTCTGAAAAGGAGGGGAAAGTACAGCCAAGCTTAAGATAAAAATTCTGGAAATTTTCTAGAATGAGAGACTCATACTAAGATAGGAGAACGAGCCAAATGACAGTTGCAGGTACAAACTTTTCAAAAGGACACAGTCCCTTTGACTGACAAGCAGTCTGGGGGTTCTTCACAAAGCCCATCCAGAGCAGCTGCTGAGGACCCACTGGTTTTCTGAGGCAATAGTCCCGCAGGCTACTGTCAACACAAATTTAAAGGAATTGTCCTTTTAAGTAACTATATGAAGCCCACTCAGTACCATCTGACCACTACCAGTTATCCCGTCAAAGGTGCAGCTGAAGAGAATTCCTAGAACCTGACTTGCAGGTCTCAGGACAGCTATCTACCCACCAAAACTGACCTCAAAGGGAAGTCTGTCTTCTCACCTGCTAACTTGTCCTTTATGCAGGCACAATGTGCAGCCCCTTTACTTTGTATTACAAATTATGATTATGACAGTAGGTGCTTGTTTGATTCACAGTGAACACTAAAAAATTTTTAAACACCGGCCTGTCCTAATATGGGCAGGTTTCAATGACAATTCCTGTTCCAATTTATGAAGTGCCCTTCTCCCAAGCAAGGCGAGCTCTCAGGAGATCCATACAGCGGGGCTCTCCCCTCTGTGTGACTCAAGGAGCCCGGCCTCTGGCCCTGATGATGCTTCATCGTGGTTGGGGGTAAGAAAAATGGAAGGAGACCTACAGAAACTTCAGCAGAATAAAGCAGTAGAAAGAATATAATTACTGCCATTGAACTCTAGCCGCAGTCCCTGGATTGATAACCTCGCATTGGAGTCAGCCAAGGTGCCTGTTGGTAAGCACTTAACTGAAAGGCCAACGTGTCCACCTAATGGCAAGAACCGTTCGGGGCACTAGTTCAATCAAAGGTCTCACAAAGTGGAAATGAACCACCACCACACCTTTTCCTGCTGTATTTACACAGGCATATGATGAGCTACAGTCGTTTAAACTCACACTCCCTGTTGAAAAGCTATCAGAGCGTGTTAGCAATGGAGATCCTGGAGGTATACAGGCATCTTCTGGATAAAGCCGGGGCAAAGTTTAAATTCCACAAACCACAGTACAACACTGCAAAGAGGCCCTTCATCTAGGAACATACAGCCTGTTTCCACCAGGCAGGTTTATTTCTTATAGACAAGAACACCAAAGGGCAGAAAATAGGTTGAGGTAGCCAGAGATACGCCCAAAAAACCCACTTGTTCAAGGGAAAATGTGATTGAGAGTCTCTTGGGAAACATATGGCACTAGCCTAGCTGATGGAAATGATTCCAAGTGCGTGACTGGGCACTATTTTCCATAATCAAAGTCTGAGAGAAAATGCAGGAGTATACAGCCATCAAACCATAGACAAGTGAGACCAGTAAGGCTCCTAACAAAAATGGAAATGTCATGAGGGAGGTAACTCGCACAGTCCTACATGGTGCTATGGTGTGGATGTGAGGTGAGGTACCCCCAAAAGCTCACGTTTGATACCATGCAAGATTTAGACAAGAAATGACTGGATTATCAGAACCTTAACCCAATCAGCAAATTGGTCCACTGAAGGGATTAACTGAGTGGTGACTGAAGTGGTGGGGTGTGGCTGGAGGTGGGAACTGGGGCCGTGGCCTTGGGGTATATTTTTTGTATCTGGTGAGTGGAGTCTCTCTGTGCTGCTGATCACCATGTGAGCTGCTTTCCTCTGCCATGATGTTCTGCCTCACTTCGAGCCCCAAGGAATGGAGGCTGGCTGTCTATAGACCAAGACCTCTGAAACCATGTGCCCCTAAATAAACTTTTCCTCCTTTAATTGTTCTTGTCAGGTCTTTTAGTCACATCAGCTACAAAGCTGACTAAAACAGAGAGTCCAGAAAACCTGGGCTTCAGCGGCCGCTCAGAGACCAGCTGTGACCGGAGGCAGGCAAGGTGGTATCTGGGACCTCTTTACCTTCATCTCTCTGCAATGTGGCTGCTGAAGGAGGGAAGGAAGTGATTGGAAAGGGGTGTGAAAGAACTTCCCAGAGTGAGTGCTCTCTAACTGGCTTACAATATATATATAGTGTCAGAAACTCGGCAAGCCAAATAAGACTTGCGCATTGCACTGTACACTAACTACGTTTTAATTAAAATGAAAAAACTGGAGCTGGGGGTGTGGTTCAGTGGTAGAGCCTTGCCTAGCACATGTAAGGCACTAGATTCGATCCTCAGCACCACATAATAATAAATAAAATAAAGGTATGGGTCCATCTACAACTAAAACAACAATGAGAAATGAAATGATCTCTGAGGTTTCTTCTTGAACCATGACTCCATGACAATTGCTGCGTGAGCCCCTCTGTACATCCAGCCTGCCTCTGAAGAACTCAGGGGATGCTGCTGTACTTGCACTGAATCGTCGAGTCTCGCAGAGACCCCATGGCCACGTGAGAAGTTCTCTTTCCGCTCAGGCAACTCTTCACTCTCCACACCTGTACAGAATGCCCCTCCCCACCAGGCCTGCTCTCCTTCAGAAGGAACTGCCCATTTTCAGTGCCTTTAATCATTTTTGCTGAGCTCCTCTGGACTTCATCCAAGTTTCCGTGCCGTGCTTAAACTGCATGGTCCCAACAGAAGCCTAGAGAGGTTAAACATAACACCAGAGTCCTCTGTGGCTGGAACAGAATAAAGGTAACAAGCTTTTGACAGTTTATCTCAGTGCCTTACAGCTAATGCATTACTGCAGTGCTCACCCAGAGTGGGCTGAGTGTGTGGAACTGGAGCTGGAAGAGGGAGTGTTCTTCCCATAATTTAGCCCACATGAACAGTGATCAAAAGTTCAGTGACCAATCCTCTGGCCAAATTTCTGGAACCCAGATGAACACTTTAGGCAAATGAAAGCCTGTAGTCTATAAGGCCCCTGTAAAAGCTAGATTTCCACAAACTGAATTGGGGGTCTCAAGGGTTTGAAGTAGAAAGGGGGTTGGGGAAGGCAAGGGGGACCAGATGTGAACATAACCAGAAACACCCTAGGATTGGAGGGCAGCTCTGCTGGTCAGCCGAGCAGAGAGAGAGAGAGAGAGAGAGAGAGAGAGAGAGAGAGAGAGAGAGAGAGATGTCACGAGTAAACACAGAGCCACCTCCAGCTAACGAGCGGTGGCACCCAGGCATGCCAAAGCCAGGGCAGTTGCTGTTTAATCAGCAGTACTCCTCTGCTGCACAAGCATGCTGCTGAGTGAAGGGAGACCACAGGCATGGTCTACAAGGGGCAGGACCCACTCTGCAGGCCTCCACTTCCATGAAAGGGCAACCTCCCATGAAGGACACACTGCCCTCTCCCCCAGCTTCCCTGACTGTCTCAGCCACTGGGGACTTGGCCTTTTGGGACCTTCGTGCTCACAGAGAGGGTACTTTCGGGCCTGCTCTCTGTCTTGCAGTAGGTGGGATGTGCACCTGTGTCACAGAGACTGCAGCAATCTAGTGGGTCGGCAACCAGGTGGGGAAATTCACGCCATTTGGATCGGAGTATCACCCCACTGACCACACACGGGGCACTCCCTCGGCTCAGCTCTTGTCAATGACAAAACCTTTATTTTAATCTCCTTCTCTCATTCCTCAACTGGTTTTAAATGTAGAAGGACAAGAGAGGAATAGTATTTATCCCATTCTCCAAACCCCAACAGGAATTTTAAGCATCATCTCTTCCTAGAACCCCTTTGGTCTGGCCATCTCTGTCTTGAAGAATGACGGGTGCCAGACCAGTGAGAGGTCATTGTAGTTGTTTCTGGGCAGGAAAGAGAGCACACATAGGGAATGGCTACTACCCACTCCTGGCCCCAGGTCTCCTGGGAACATGGCTAGAAAGTCAAAATAGCAAATTTCTTTCTTTGCCTTCTCTAAATCTTTCACATATTTTTCAACAATGCACCTCCTTATCATGGAACCCTGAGGCTTTAGGTGAAGCCTTCGGGGCTCCTTCCCAGTGAAGATTTTTGGGAACTCATGCACCAAGTCTGCATTCTGCAGAAGTGTGGTTCTGCCCACATTCAAATTCAACCAGTGTGAATGGCTCCTTCCAGCTCCTAGGCTCCCCACTTGTCTTTTCTGTCCTAAGATGATACATTCCAGTCAGTAACAGTGGCTTGATCATGGCAAGGACTCTCCTGTAAGGTCATCACTCAGAATCCAGGTGAATGTGGATTCTGATATTTTGATATATTCTGGATATTTTTTTAAGTCTCCAGGTAAAATTATAAATCACCTCTGCAGAGAGTCAAGCCTGGGTGTGAATCTAGGTATTGTTGACTAAATAGGTATAAGAACATAAATGAGTTACTGTCTCAGCCTCAGTGTCCTCATCTATCAAAGTCAATCTATCTTACAGGTTTATCCTCAGGACTGAATGAGACAATATTTAGATCAAGACTTTCTCTGACTTTAAACCACCAATGGCTTCTGTATCGATTCAGGATATGCTACAATAAAAACCCACCCCAGCGTTTCAGCAGCTCAACATAAGAAAGTTTATTTCCTGCTCATACCAACTCCACTGTGGATCCACTGACACTCTAGGGCACCTGTTCTCCTCACTCAGAAATTTAGGCTTGCCCACAGCTGCAAAATGAAGCCTCCTCTATGGCCCCAGTGCAGGGGAGGAAGGCACTATAGGGTCTCACAGGCAATTAAATGCTCCCACATGAGAGGGGGTTTTGTCCCTGCTGTACACAATTCTCTTCTTCCCTCAAGCAGACATAAGTGAAATCTAATAAGCAAGAATATTCTACACAGCTCAGGAAACACTTCAAAATAGGCATATAACTTACTGACCAACAAGTGGAAATTGCTCCCTTCTGCCAAAAAAGCAAAGCACAGGCAATAAGACATGTGTGTCAGAAGACAGAACACATGGCTTCATCTCCTCAGAGACCAACCCCTGCAGTTACCATGGCAAGAAAGCACAGCCTGCAAGAGAAACCATACGAGGAATGTGTGCCAGGAGTCGCCCTGACTGTCCTCGAGGAGGACCGAACCAGCTGTACCACTGCTCGGATGTTCACCACCCTGAGAAACTGACCTGGTAGCTCTCTGCCAGAAAGAAAAACGGTTCAGTCGAGCAACAAGTAGCAGGCTGGGAATGGAGCATGAAGCACAAGTCTGTACCCATCTGTGCAGACCCCTGTTGGCTCCAGAGCTAGAATCAGGTGGGCACCCAGGCAGGCCACAAGGGAAAGCCAACGGCCCGCCCCAATGTGTAGAAACAGCAGTGATTTTCTGACCTATTCCACACAGAAAATAAGTACTGAGGTGAGCAAGGCCCCGACCCCGTCAGATTCCCTTAGCCCACTGGCTTCGGGACAGCTTCCTGCACTTCTAAGAGGCCAATAAGCTCCACTGAGGAGGCCATCCATGGCAGCCACCGCACAGAAAGGCAAGTGGCTTACAAAGTGATCCAGTAGGCGAGCTCCGTCTCGTTAGAAAGTCGTGTTTTTGAGCAGACAAGCACTAAAAACCAGTTGGAAGGTGCAGGAAGAGGTGGGGTTGGCCTGAGGGTTCCTCCCTTCACACATACAAATGTTTCAACTGCACTCAGAGGACTGCACACTCACTCCTCTTGCTCTCCCTGCACAACAGCACGCCCACACTTCTCCTCTCTCCTTCCTTCCCAGCAGGCCTCTCCCTGCTGTCTGAATCCTATTTTGGGTGAGGTTCTCGGCAGGGATGACTCACTTTCCCAGAGCCTGGAAGGAACGCATCATCCTGCTCCCTCCAGGGTTTGTTTTTCAGCAAGTTCCCAAACACAAACCTGAAGTTGGCCTCGGAAGATGAGAAGGGTCGTTCTGTCACCAGATCCTTCTCCAGCTTTATTTCTGTCCAGCATCCCACCGCAATTGTGAGGGTGGCAGCGGGCATTGGCATGGTTACGTAGTAATGCCAGCTTGAGCACCCTGTGAAGAAAGCAGCAGCACAGTGAGGCTGTGGAAGGCTCCGGGCCCTCCTCTATTTCTTGAGATACAAGAAGAGCCCAGGGCAGGTCACCCCAACAGACCCCAGGTCTCTGGGAAAGCAGAGGGGGGATGTTTCAAGGCAGGCAAGGAGGTCTGGGCTCTTCCAGCTGTCATTCTGAAGCCTCACAGTGAGGCTGAGCAAAATGAGGTGCGAGGTGGTCACTCACAGCACACGCCTGCGGAGACAAGAACACGTCTCGCTCATTCGAAAGCACAGCTGATATCTCCTGAAGGAATGAATGATCATTTCTGTCCTGAAACTAAATGATTCTTCCTAAGTAAAATAAGTCGAGCTAAAATGCACACCATACAAAATACATGACACAGAGGAAGGGGAACTCCTGGGTTTCAGTCCCAATACTGAAATAAATTAGCTACAGAAGTTCATGGCTTAGCCCCTGTCCTGCCATTCCATTCAGATGGTCCTCCCACTCCTCGATTAGCAGATGAAAAACAGGAGTAGAGACTTCCCCAGAGCCATGACGCCCAACTAGTTCCCAAGAGGGGTCTCAACCCCAGGTGAGGGTGTCCTCTCTATGTAGTTCAAACCTTAGGGAAGCTTTGATCAAAGGGACAAGTGACTGTTAACTACCACTGCATTTGCCTTAGATGGGAAAATGACATGATTCTGAAATCTGCATGATTTAGCACAGCATGGCTGATGCACGCGCTCTAAACTGATGCTAATGTCACCTTATATCATGAAGCCCATTCCTCCATTCCTCATGTTTCCACGAGGGGAACTTCCACTGGAGTAACACCTCTCTGTCAGCCCACGTACAAGAGCTATTTTCGCTGCTTTAAATGTTATAGGGTTACACACTCATGGAACAGCCTGTGATTGTCCAATTTGGTGAGTAAGCAGATAAGATGTCAAATTCTGGGTTGAAATATTGACATGCCCACATTGGCCCTAACATGACATTTTCCAAGAGCTGAGCCGAGGGAGTAGTCCTGTGTGTGGTCAGTGGGGTGACACTCTGATTCCAAATGGCGTGAATTTCCCCATCCAGTTAGATTTTGATCTCCATATGGTTGGCTCCTTCATCTACTGATTCTGAACACAGGAAGGGTCTTTATTACCTTTCAAACTCTGCCAACTTAAATTCAAAGAAATATGCTATGGAATTTCTCTAATGAACAACAGAATTTTATGTAGGAAGCAAAGGCTTAAGAACATGTATGATTCCTGGTGTAATCCAAGCCTGGAAGCCCTGGAGGAGACACCTGAGAGAGGGGCACAGAGGGCATGCCCAGAGCTGCTGGAAACCCAGCACAGAGGCAGTCATTCTCTCAGCCTGCGTGAGTTTCACCCTGCTTCTAGAGCCAGGGTAGCCATTATCGAGATCCCTTTTTCTCAGCTGACCAAGAAGCGGAAGCATGCCCTTTGTTAAAGAGACAATCAAGTCCAACAATTCTAAAGCCAATCAGTGATTTACATCGCTTCCACAGCCTTAGACAGAACCATTATCTCCAGCCCCAGTCAGTGGGAAGAGGGTAACAGTCACAGAAGTCTTGGGAGAGCACGGCATGGAGCTGGCCTGGTAGCTGCTCCACGTCTGTGTACCTCAGTGTCGGCCTCTGTTGGCCCCTCACTCCCTGCAACCTGATGCCTCCTGATGCTCCATGGAGAACTTCAGTTTGCACAAAGCCAAGAGAGCAGGTAGGAGGTGGAGTAGAAATGAAAGAGGAGGAAAGAAGGCCCGGGTTAAATATTCTGAACGAACACATTTCTTAATCAGAGGGCTCTGGCCAGTCATTATTTTTCTAAATTATTTTTGAGTGTTAACTGTGGGTCCAGGTTGAATCTTAAAAAGTCAAACCCTTCGAGGCTTGATAAATCAGCAGCAATGGTGAAGTGTCCAGATAAAAAATGGAAGCTTGAATGCATAAGGCCATCTTCACTTCCTCCCAAGCCCCTTTTTAAAGAACAGTGAAAGGAGTTTTTTTTTTTAAGTCATAAACCATGAGAACAGGGAGACTAATCTAGGAGACAGCTGCAAACACTTGAAGCTAGAATGCAGACGGCAGAGACAAGTGATGGCAGAACCACACCCTAAGTCGGTGGTGGAGAAAGAGAAGACGCACCCAGTTTCACCCTCCAGAAGCCCAAAAGGCTGCTGGGTGGAGAAAGGTTAACCTGAGCAGTGATGAGAGCCGTGGCAGCCTCTCCATTCTGCACGCCTGGGCTGTGCCCATCCCACCAACCTGGCAAAGGACGTTTTCCAAACAGAAGACAGGGCTCTCTGTGCCACAGGGGTGTGGGAAGAGGGGAAGAAAGGGCACAGGTGAAGAAAGTGAACAGGATGTGCGTGCAGGACCCCAAGAGCACCAGCCATCTCCCAGAATGCCAGTGGCCAAGCTTTCACCCTCCAGGCAGGAGACTGAAGAAAGCTACCCCACCACGGGCAGAGCCCAATGACAGGAACACCGGAGGACTCCGTGACAAGCGGGTGGTGAGGCTCGCAGCTGGAAAAATCTCCGTGGGCACTTGGTGCTTCCCTCTTCCTGATGCACAGAGACAAACCAAGGACCTCCAGGCACCTTCAGAAAGCCACTCATGCAAGAGAGACCAAAATAGACCAAACAAGCAACCACTCACGGAGAAGGAAACTCACACAACATCACACACACAAACACCCAGAATCGAGGGAATTTACTGCAGTCTTGACACAAATGCAGTAGAGTATCAGAAAAGGGCATTCTGCAGCAATGAAATGAAAAATACATTGGAAGGAAAATTCAATGAAAGGAATGGGATGAAATCATAAAGGCAAGGAAATCCACCAGAAAGCAAAGCAAAAACTGAATAAAAAAGTAAAGACAAAAGAGATGAGGGGTGGTGGGGATGAGCTCCAGAGGCCCACATCCAGACAGCAGGAGTTCCAGAAGGAGGTGACAGAGGGACAGAGGGGAAGCTGCCAGTTTAAGGAATCCAGAAGCACTGCCCCAACCTGGAGAGAACACGGGTTTCCAGACTTAAAGGACTCAAAGCACCCAAAGCACTAAGTCCCTTGACCCCACATTAAGATACATCATTATAGAATTTAGAAGCTTGAGAATGAAGATAAGATCCCACAAGCTTCCAGAAAGAGAAAGGGGTGCTACACAGGGGAGAAGCGCATACATATCATAAGGACATTTTCAGACATGCAGAGTCTCAAAAACTCACCTCCTACGCACCACATCTCCGGAAGGGACTAGACTATATAAAGAATGCTTCGAACAGAGGTAGTAAGCCATTAAAGAAGACAAAGGAGCCAGTGCAGGAGAAAAACAGAGGTCGCCTGCAGAAGGACAGAGATGGGCAGCCAGTAAAGGGGACACCATGCCCACCAGGCAGCCAAGGAACCCCAGGAGACGGCTTCAGAAGGAAACCCGGGAGAAAAGGAGATGTGGGTGATCACCTTAAAAGGAGTTCTGAACGGCTTTCAAAGAGTCTAGGCTTGGGGCTGGGGATGTGGCTCAAGTGGTAGTGCGCTTGCCTGGCATGCGTGCAGCCCGGGTTCGATCCTCAGATCCTCAGCACCACATACAAACAAAAATGTTGTGTCCACCGAAAACTAAAAAATAAATATTAAAAAATTCTCTCTCTCTTAAAAAAAAAAAAAAAAAAGAGGCTAGGCTAAAAAAAACAAAAAAAAAGGGGGGGGGGAAAAAAAAAAAAAAAAAGAGGGGGGGGGGGCATGGCAAACAAAACACCACTATTAACTCCAAGAAAAACCCACACGTACAGAAATCATAATGTAATCATAATTTCATTATGAGACTCAGCTCTCAATGACAAAGATAAAATACAAAGAATGTTGACTTAATCAATGCTGTGACATGAGTCACATTGGGAAGACAGGATGTGGGGAAGGAAGCAGGGAGGAGAAAGAACTAAATTTTCACCGGTGGGACACGGTGAATGCTGACGAGAAACCAGAGCAGGTGAACACAGGGAGTGCGTGTGAGAAACCCAGAGAATTGTTGAACTCTAAATATTGCATTTTTAATGTAAAATAATTCAAAACAAAACCAACTAATCAATTGATCAAAAGGTAAACTTATCAGAAAAACAGCAGCATCTTTAATCCTGAAATACAATCAAAATGATGAAATACAGCTGGAAGGAAGGGCCATCCACAGAGAAGGTGCAGGCGCTGCTCCATCGGGAAACCCTCTAAGGAACAAAGCAAGTGCTGAGCACAATGGTTTCTATGTTCTGTGCTGAAGTTTTGATCCGATTTTTTTGCTACAAGTCTAGTTCTTGGTACCATCTATGGCCTAGGCAAGATGGGACTTGTGGAAACCACAAGAACTGAACTGAAACTGCTTCCAAAAGAAATCACTGCTAAGGAAATAGGAGGTAATCACGAGATCCCTGAACAAGGGCACCAAAAATCCAGAGCTCCTAGTGACATCACATCCCAGCACCACTGTCAGAAAGCGTGTGTACCTTCGAGGTAACACGGGGAGGGCACTAGGAGCCATGAAGGGATGTAGTAAGAGGAAGAATGAGATGAGCCACAAAAAAATTACCAATATCTTAAATAACCCAGAATTGGGGAGTGAGGTAGCCACAGTGATAACAGAACCTGAACTGAGTCTGACGAGAACGCTTTAGAACTGTTGTCGTCACTCGAATCACTCCTCCCTCGAAGGTGGCTGCACAGTTAAATAATGGAAAGAAAGATTCTGAATGTTAAAGAGGATGCCCCTCTATACAGCCCACAGATTTTTACTTTCTTAGATTCCTAAGTCCCTTTTCTAGAGGGGCTCATTCGGACCAAACTGCTTCATAGTGCAAGCTTTTAAAACGAAACCTTTTGGGAGCTACCAAGTGACTGACAAACAGGGGCAGATCAGCAGACTGGGCCACTAGGAACCAGCCAGGAACCCAATTCCCAAGGACTGTGGTTGACCCGAGATGTTTCTCAGGAAGAAGAGTCTGGCCC